GTGGGGGACCCACAACCCTTGTTTTTTTTTTGGGGAAGGAAAAAAAAAAAAAAAAAAAAAAAAAAAAAAAAAAAAAAAAAAAAAAAAAAGGAGGCATGGGCTAATGTTAGCCAGAAGGTGAGACTCGTGAGAGGGCGCAACAAAGGAAATGAGGTCCAAAAATTGATCAAGCGGCGCAATTTCCGCCTCAGTCGCTTTTGATGTGAACGCCCCCCCATTAGAATTATTTCACACATGTTTTTTATGCTGACGACCAGTTAGACAGTTGGGCAGCCTTATGTTTACCCTGTTGAGTTGGGAAGGCAGGTGGCTTCCGTCGGTGGAGGCTTCAGGTTCGGAGCTGAAATAAGCAGACGCGGGGGGGCTGGGTGGGTAGCCGTAGCTGGGGAGCTGCTTGCTGAAGTCAACGTTGTGAGATGGCTGACAACGACAGATTGGAGAGGACGGAAAGATGTTAATTCGACGTGGCTGTGTTCTATACCCAGCCGAGCAGGTGATTTAATTACTCTCTCGCAGTTTGGTAAAGGAAAAAAAAATAAAAATTTTTTACCTGCTGTCCGAGCGCTTCAAAGGCCCCGATGCCAAGGTTCTCCTGCTGTTCGTACAAGTGAGGCAGAGCATCCTGAAAGGAAAAAGCCAGATGGATATCAAACCGAATTAAAGCATACGAGGCACTAACAAAATATTCCCCGTGGTTAAGTCATCTTAACATCGTCGTCTTTTTTCCCCCCCAAAACACAGAAAAAGCAGAAAAAAAAAAAAAAAAAAAAAAAACACCGTATTTGTCAAAACTTTTACCTGTAAAAAAAAAAAAAAAAAAAAAAAACACCGTATTTGTCAAAACTTTTACCTGTAAAAAAAAAAAAAAAAAAAAAAAAAAATACCCCCACTTTTTAAAAAAAAAATTTAAAAAAAAAAAAAAAAAAAAAAAAAAGACCGTATCTGTCTAAACCTTTACCTGTAAGAATAATAATAATAAAAAAAAAAAAAAAAAAAGAAGCTGTATTTGTCTAAACCTTTCCCTTTAAGAATAATAAAAAAAAAAAAAAAAAAAGAGACTGTATCTGTCTAAACCTTTACCTGTAAGAATAAGAATAATAATAATAAAAAAGACATTTTAATTTAAATTTTGTTATGGTCGTCTTTCAGCACCTGCATTTTTAGAGGTAAACAGAGCATCAGCCAAAAGTCACTGGGTCATTATTTAGAATAATTTAGGGAAAAAAAAAAAAAAAAAAAAAAAAAAAAAAAAAAAAAAAAAAAACAAACCCCCATGTTTAAAAAAAAAAAAAAAAAAAAAGCTATATTTTTTGCATACAAATGTTTGAAAATTATCTATCTTTATCCTGAACTGTCAAAATGAAAGCATTAATTTGTAAAATTTGTCTTGCAGGAATTGTTGCTTGAATACAGAGTGTGTTTATTTCAACAAATTGCAGATAAAATTTAAAAAAAAAATTGACAATTGACAAGATAACGCTAGGATAAAATTCACCAACTCTATAAAGCTATTTTACGTTACTCTACATATATGTCTTAACATTTTTCCATAATAAAAATGTCATAATTTGGTCACATACAGCGACATACAGAAAGTTTGTTATATTTTGAATATATTTTGTAATCGCAGCTGCTGCTGCGATTACTAAAACTAAAAGTCGAATGTGTCCATTTCACGTAGGCCTTACAAAAATCAACGACTGTCCGTCTATACTTTGCATCTTGTCTATGTTTGGACTACAGCGTTCAACACTGCTGTTTCTTTAATTACTGCCGTACTACTGAAGTGTTACCTGGTTCAAAGCCGGGTATTCAAAGCTGTAGGTCTCTTGATAGCGCATCTGGTGGCGCAAGTTGTACGACGGCTGCAGGTTGTGGTTGGCCAGCTGGTTGGACACGTTGCTCAGTGTGGGCCTCTTCCTGTAGGGGTGAGGACGACAGTTTCCTCCTGATGCGGGAGAAGACGGATACAGTGTATAGGTCACATGCACTGGGAAAAAAAATAACCACATTTAGCAATTAAAAAAAAAAAAAAAAAAAAAAAATCACCTGAAGAAAAACTGCCACCAAGGAAGGCATTCTGGGGGAGAGGCAACTCCTTGGGAGGATCTCCTAACAGGGAAACCTGACAACAGGTGGAAGGGCCAGTTGGTGAAGTGAACTCAAGTAGTGAGTTGAGGCTTTCGTATCGCTGTAATTGAACATAGCCTCTCCCGCGCTCGGAGGAATTCTAATTGGGATCTTACCCCTTGCGGTGCGATACCATCTGCCCCCATCGTGCCGCCCATCAAGGGCATGGAGAGTCCCTGCAGGGAGGACGTCTGTGTGAAGGCTGTGGGAGACTCCTGCTCTCTGCTTAGAGTTCTGCCAAGAGGCATTGAATTTAGGGACGTCTGAAGACCAAGACCTGGGACAACTGAAAAGAATGCGGTAGTGGAGAGATTAAATGCAATTTTTTTTTTACACAATAATAATAATTTTAATAAAACAGTTCGCCCCTTTTATATGGTTCAGTTCAATGACCTTCAATAGGTTATACTCGTTTAAACCAGATGTTTTTTTAAATTTTTTTTTTTCTGCAACACTACCGTACGTACTCACATAAAAAGCCGAATTTAAAACACCAAAAAAAAAAAAAAAAAATTATGTGTGCATAAATACCCGGGACATCATTTCCCCCATCGATCGCATCATCACCGATAATAAACAAGTCTAACGTATATCCGCACACCAAAGCGAAGGTTTCTTTGTGAAATCTTTTTTTTTCCGCAATTTTAACGTAAACATTGCTTACCAAGATAATTCTTTGTTGATGCACAGAGCAGGAGTAAGATATTAACACGGCAAAAAAAAAAAAAAAAAAATCAAAACATTATGGTTAGCTTACGTGCAAGTCTTTGGCGGTAAAAAAAAAAAAAAATCACCATTTTGGGATCAATTTGCAAAAATGTCAGGTCAAAAATGCTTATACGCGAATCGGCTAGTTCGCGAGTATGTACGGTAATTTGCAAAAAAAAAATTCAAAAAAAAAAAAGTCACCATTTTGGAATCAATTTGCAAAAATGTCAGATCGAAAATGCTTATACGCGAATCGGCTAGTACGCGAGTATGTACGGTAATTTGTCAACTATTCCAGATTGATGCCGTCTTTTTCACGTGTTCCTCTTGAAGACGAGTGTGAGCTGTACGTGGTAAAATCCTAGTATGCTTTGAGTCGTTTGTCGTAATGATGTACGTCCAATCAAAAAAAAACCATCGCGTGTTCCTGGGTTAAGTTTACTAATGGCGACTTAACACGAAACCATCACAGGTCACCGTCACTTTTCCGGCGAGCGAGAGTCCGACGCTTAACCAACGTGCAAATGTTTTTTTTCGTGCTACAGATGTTCAGAGTCACTGGGAAAGCGATAACATGCAGAGCAGTGGCTCAAGGCGAGCTACGGCTAACGTATGTCGGCGGATGCCAAACCTTGTGGGAGGTCTCCAAGCAGATGGAATCCCTGCTGGACGGGCAACGGAGCCAAAGGATTCTCCGCCATGAGTCCTGCCTGCTGGCCAAAAGAGCAGAGTGAGGTCAGTGTCACAACATCGTATGTGATGAGGCAGGCTGCCAACCACGCAATCAGGGAGAAAACGGCAACACGCATTCAATTATGCACCCTGTTTTGCTACACATACCTGACCTGGGTGCTGAATGCTATTTAAATAGCAACCAAAAAAAAAAAAAAAAAAAAAAAAAAACACTTTCACACTTTCCTAACAACTGCTTCCCCCACCCACACACCGAGTTGTCAATCAACAAGCCACACAAAGAGGAAGCAGCATGACACATCAAACTTCACTATTTCAGAAAAAGCACAAACAACACCATCACACACTCACACACACACTGCACCAAAGGGTTGGCTTTATTCTGCAGCACCTGAGCCCACAGAAGATGATTCCCCAGAAAGGCTTGCTGAAAGTTAAGAGCCAAAGAGTGAAAGCAAATTTAGCATGAGGGGAAAAAAAAAAAGGTTTGAATAAGTTGAGGGAGAAAATGAAAAAAAAAAAAAAAAAAAAAAAAAAAACTGGCTAAGCAGCTGAGAGGAAACATGCCAGAAGGAGGAGGAGGAAAGAGGGGGCAGAAAAAAAAAATTACCTGCTGGGCCTTGGCCTGGTTCTGAAGGAGCAGCTGGAGCAGGGCAGCAGAGAGTGCTGGGTTGGCCAGCAGTGGTATTGTGGGTGACGGCCCGAGGAGCCCTGTGAACAAGAAACAAAGAAACGTTACCCACGGCAACCAAACAAGGCTTCATTAAAGTGGATTTATTAATGCAAGTCTATATTGAAAAATGTCTTTTTTTTTGTCCTGAACGGTAATCTTTCGTAATCAAGTTTCCAAATGTACCTGAACGTAGCACGTGTGACAGCTGCGACTTCATAACCTATGTGGACCTGCTACTCTTCCCCGTCAAGCTAGCGTGTAGCTGGCTAGCGCAAAATTGAAAGGTTTTGCGCAAGAAACGGATAAAAGCAGTACAACTGCTTTGCAAAAGCAAAAGCAAAA